TGAACATCATGAGGAAAAAAATCAAGACCTCTGGAGTCAGGTGTATACACAGCATAATTTTATGGGCTTAGGATAATCTCTAAAGATTTATTTATTTAATATATATGAATACACTGTAGCTGTCTTCAGACACACCAGAAGAGGGCATCAGATCTCATTACAGATGGTTGTGAGCCACCATGTGGTTGCTGGGATTTGAACTCAGGACCTCTGGAAGTGCAGTCAGTGCTCTTAACCACTGAGCCATCTCTCCAGCCCAGGATAATCTCTAATGTTCATCTGCTTGCCGACTTTTAAATTACCTGGAAGCTAACTAACTAACTAACTAAATAAATAAATAAATGACACAAGAACTGCATTTTAAACTTTCTATTCCAACGTGGGATTTATGACCTGGCAGCCATAACCGTTATCTAGGGAAAGCTGATATCTCATTACTTCTCCCTAGTTAAGAGAGGTATGGAAGTCAGAGATGTAAAGAATACCATAGGATTTGAGTTGGGGACAGTGTGTGTATATGCTACCTCTTCCCACATTGGGGTATTCCAACGGGGATGAAGGGACCCAAGAAGTATACTGGGGAAGAAATGAACGTCAAATGGTAAATTTAGTTTTCATGGTTGTGGTGGGTTGATTATGCTTGGCCCAGGGAGTGGCACTATTAGCAAGTGTGGCCTTGTTGGGATAAGTGTGGCCTTGTTGGAGGAAGCGTGTCACTGTGGAGGTGGGCTTTGAGACCCTCCTCCTAACCATGTGGGAGATAGTCTTCTCCTGTTTGCCTTTAGAACAAGATGCAGAACTCTCAGCTCCTCTAGCACCATGCCTGCCTGAATGCTGCCATGCTCCTGCCTTGATGATAATGGACTGAACCTCTGAAACTGTAAGCCAGCCCTAATTAAGTATTGTCCTTTATAAGAGTTGCCTTGGTCATGGTGTCTCTTCACAGCAATGGAAACCCTAACTAAGACAATGGTTAAGGTAACTTCTAGAAGATGATGTCGCATGGTGTCACAAAGATTTTGTCCCCTGTGTAGTGAGTTAAAGTATCATAAGGTACGTCTTCCAAGTTATCAACACCTTTCTGGTGGTTTCACATATAAAATGCAGTCTATAAAACGAACTATATCACATCAAGTCATAAGGTTCCTGGTTAGGGAATCTGGGAAAAGACAGAAAAGGGTAAGATAACTATAGACCATGACGCCTTTGGATACCCTGTAACTCTCCAGAAACCCATCTATACCCTCAGATGCCAGAGACAAGCAGGAACTAAGTGCCCTGTTCTGCAAGGACCACGGAAGGGTCACCCAGCACCTTATGAATGGATTCATCTGGACTAAGTCACTGCCACCCTCCCCTCTTAGATGCTCAGCCTGCTAAAGTGTCTCAGTGTGAGTGGAAAGAGACGATAGCATCAGGCTTCAAATACAAGGACGTGGAAACTGCAATACACATATGTAAACAAGACCCTGCACATGACAAGAAGGATGGATGGTGGTGAGAAAAAGCTTGCCAGAAGGGATACTTGTCCACAGAACCAAAGCTACAAGTTGACTGGAAAATTGAGGGTCCTAAAATGGCTTCCTTTTAGAAGGATCTGGGACTATATATGTGGGACATATAGTCTTCAAGTGATTTGAAATCCTTTTTGTCACACCGAAAGGATTTTGAACAATTTCTGTTTTGTTTTTTGTTTTGAGACAGGGTTTCTCTGTGTAACAGCCCTGGCTGTCCTAGAACTCACTCTGTAGACCAGGATGGCCTTTAACTCAGAGATCTGCCTGCCTCTGCCTCCCAAGTGCTGGGATTAAAGCCATGCACCACTGCCGCACAGGTTTAAACAATAATTTTTTAGTTAAATTTATTTATTTATTTATTTACTTATTTATTTATCGTAGAGGTGGGTGGGTACATAACACAGCTTGCATGTGGAGGTCAGAGTACAACTCTGAAAGAATTGGTCCTCTCCTTCCATCACGAACATTCCAGGGATCAAACCCAGGTTGTCAAGCTTGGCTGCAAGTAACTTTACACACTGAGTGAGCTTGCTTGCTAGCCCAGATGTCTTTTGTCTTTTTCTTTTTTTACTTTACGGTAACTGAAGAATTCTCTTAAACTGACCCATTTCTTCAGGCTCTAAGGACAGTTTGGCTAGCCATAGCAGTGCCCAGTCCCCTCACAGCATGTGGCACTGATGATTTACGGTCCTTCAGATACACACGGGCTGGTATTTCTTTCTTTTCTTTCTGTTTAGGGCATGATTTCACTTGTGTTTGTTTTTGCTTTCAAAAAGGAAGCTGCAAATGTCTCATTTCTTCTCCTCACCTTGTAAGAAAAGGGGTAGACCTTTTATTATTTCCTTCAATACTGGACCTCAATGTAGGAAGGAGAGCTCATCTTTCCTCAAATCTTTGTAATATTCCTGTACTCAACAGAACCAAAATATAAACGAGCAAGTAAGGAAGGGGAAACTTCACTTTCCCACGTCAAAAGGCAAGCCCAACTAAGTGAGTGTGTGCTTTCCTCAAATGTGAAATTTACAGGCCACAGATGGGCATTTACTGAATACCAGCTTTTTTCCTAGTGACACCAACTAAGATTACAAAGGTTTGCCCAGAGAAATTCAGTAAAGTCCCCTAAGCTTTAATCAGAAAATCAAAACAAACAAACAAACAAACAAACAAACAAACAAACAAACTAGCACCACCTTCCACTTCACCATCTCTTTCACCCTGTGCTCCTTCTGGTTTTAAGCCCCTCATAGTCTGAATGACTAGTAACCAGGTTGCCAAAGCCCATTGGCCTAGGGAACCACAGCTATAGACTCTGACCTGTGCATTTCAGAGTCAGGCAGCAAGAGAGCAAATTCTCTCAGCAGCAGGGAAAGAGACAAAATTGATGAGTTGTCTTATTTAAAAAGGGAAGTAGGGCTGGGCAGTTGTGGCACATGCATGCCTTTAATCCCAGCACTTGGGAGGCAGAGGCAGGCGGATTTCTGAGTTCGAGGCCAGCCTGGTCTACAGAGTGAGTTGGGACAGCTAGGGCTACACAGAGAAACTCTGTCTCAAAAAACAAAACAACAACAACAACAACAAAAACCAAACAAACAAACAAAAAAAAAGGAAGTAGGGAAACTGCCTTTCAATGGTAGTAGGTCTGTAAGACCTGAGAAACTGGTTCCACTGAGTAGGCAGACAGATAATTCCTGCTGGTGAACACCCTCCACTAGAACCTCTCCCTGTGTCCTTTCCTTGGCAGCAGGGCATCTTCCCACAAAGTTCTGGGCTCTAGGCAATGGGATGCAGACAGCTTCAATGTGGACCTTATCTTCTGTCTGCCGCTGAATTGATGCCCTGGGGCTGAGTGGAGACTCCCATCTCTCTGTTCTGAGGGAGGGCAGAGATGAACAGTGCGCCTCAGATGCTATCTCACTCTGCCCAGCCCCTACAACTAAGGTCAGAACTCAGTTTCCATCCTCACACCTTTGAAATCTAGTTAAGAGTAAGGAGTGGAAGTCTGAAGGAGCAGGAGGGCAGCTTTGTTAACTGCTTTCATTGCCTCTCACCAACTTCAGTCCTAGGTTTACGGCAGCGCCAGCTAACTCTAGCAACATCCCCTTTCCCACGCCCCTCTCCTAGCCACAAAGCCTGCAGGTCCCAGCATTCCTCTACTCAGCAATGGAGAGCCAGGGCGACTCACAAAACAGTACTGCCCCATGTGGATCCAAGAAGGCCAGCTGCAAGTGACATAACCACTGCCCAAACCCCCACACTACACTCCTCTTTGACAGGAAACAGACTCCCAAGAAATCTTGCCTGGAAACCCTTTACCCTAATGCAGCAAAGACTTGAGAGCAAACCTATCCACTCAGATCCCACTGGCTGCTTCCGGCTTCCTCTCCTCCGTAACACTCCCTCCCTTCAGTTCCCAGCCACCGTTTCTAGTCTCTGAACGGTCCTTGCCCACTCCGACCCCTCCTCCTCACAAAAGCAGCGATTGGAGCAGGATACAGCTCCGCGTCAGGCTGTTCAAATTAATGAAGACACGGAGAGAATCTGTTGCTGGGATTATGAGCCTTAATGACATAGAAGAAGGTCCTTGGGATTTCATTAGTCTCTGTGGCCACACATCTGTTTTGGGCTGGGAACTTGTCAAGCTTGTGAGGATGGATCACTGGGTACTTCCTTCTAAAGGTGATATGAGCGCTGCTGAGATCAGTTTTAGATTGAAGCTCTGTAAACAGGGCTGGAGGCAGAAGCCTAATAGGTGAAAAAAATTTGGGTGGGGTGGGCATGGTCTTTCATCTCTAACTACATAAACACTCTTTACCTGCCTTCCCAGCTGAGATGGTAAAGTGGCATGAACAGTTCAGGAGTCAGTCTCTCTCTCTCTCTCTCTCTCTCTCTCTCTCTCTCTCTCTCTCTCTCTCTCTGCTTCACAACCCATAATCCTCCCTCTGAGATCCTTTCTCACCCTGTTTTGCAAACTGCTTTGGGGAAACTGGTTGCTTCCTGCCAGTCTCTTCAATGACATTAAAATTAGCAGAATAATTAAATACAATCCTAATTAGGTCCACAAAAGAGTTCTTGGTTAATTAATGAGCCAGCCAACGTCTGGCCCAAAGCTGTAAATCCACGTTGGTCTGTGAATGCCCAAGCAGAGAAAAGTGATCTCCAGCCCCATAAGAAAATTGTTACTTAGGAAAACAACGGTGTCAAAGACATTCCTCCAGCCAGTAGCCAGTTAATCTCGAAGCTGAGATCCATATGTAAATGAGCACTGAATTGTGCTTCTTTCACCAAGTCCCTCTTACTCTATACCCGCATCCCCCCCAGTCCAAACTCGCTGGGAAGTAACCGCGTCCCCAAACTGCAACTCCCAGCTCAAACGCGATCTCCTCGCTGGGAAACTGAGCCCAAGGCGGTTCACAGCACACTCTCTCCAGAGCCCTCACCCCATTGCCTTCTTAGTACCGCCAGCCTGGTTAAAATGCTACTCACCTCTACAAGAGAAGCAACAGCAGCACTTAGCAAAGAGCCAGCCCAAAGAGGGACCTCGGGTATAAGCCTGATCGCCACCCTTCATGCTGTAGCGCGCCCCCAGTGCTCCGGCATGGCACGGACGCCGGCCGGGGTGAGAGCGCGACGGTAGGAAACTTCGGTGCCACCGTCAGCCAGGTCCCGCTCCCGCCTGCAGTCCTCCTCCCGCACCCCGGCGGTGCTGGGACTTACAGGGAGTTGGGCCACCTTAGGCAGGAGGGAGGGGCCAGGCGGCAAGGGAGGGACTAAGGGGGCGGAGTTCCAAGGTCCAGCTGTTGGTTGGGGACGCGGCCGGCAGCGTCCCTGAGCCTTATGAAACAGGCAAATATGCCTGTGTGGTTGCGGGTATCCAGCAAGTACTTAGAGCTTGGTTACCTAGATCCCCTGCCGCAAAACAGAAGCTTAGGTGGGATTTCTAAAGGCTACCATAATCAACTCTAGCTTATAATACAGAACTAGATGAGGCCAAAGAGGTGGAAGAGGGGTAGATTAGAATACTTTGTCCCTATCAAATTCCCCTCATCTCCTCTCATTAAAAATCTCTTTCCTTTCTTTTAATGGGTACAGCTAATGACGGCAGAGATCCCTCACTTCCTTATCAGCTCCCTATTAAAACCATGTGCAAAAGCTTCCTGGGTTTGGCGTAATAAAAACTACAGTTCAAAGCTCACTTTTGCCACTGACTGTCTGACCTTAGGCTAGACAATTTGCTTTTTTTGAACTTCAGTTTTTCTCTTTAAAATAAAACAAGATGAAAACAGACGGGTGTGGTGGTCCATGACTAGGGAGGCTGAGGCTGGAGGTTCAGGAGTTAAAGAAGAGCTAGGGCTGCATAGCAGGACCCTGCCTAGAATTTATAAAAGACACCAGCAGAGGTGCTTGCTAGTTCCGGTGAATGAATACCTGCAGACAAAATTTTCAAGACCCCCACCTACCTACTGAGGAGGGCTCCCACTATCTCCTCCCTTCTGTAATCCATGAATTTATCATTCTTTTTTCTTATCCCTGTACTTTATGTCTATTTCATGGTTCAAGGCCAAGCTTGGTGTCTGCCAGCATCCTTGAAGTTCAATAGTGTCAACTGGACCATGAATCACTGAGCAAATCCCTCACAGTACATTGTTCCTACTAGTTTTTGCCTAGCTTTAGGGGAAAGGGCTTGTAGGAAGGATGAAGCATTCAGAAAGCAGGTCCATTCCTTAGGGATAAAATGAGCTGTGGACTAGAGACACAGCTCAGGAGTGGAGGATTAGTCCAGCATGTATAAGGGCCTGCGTTTAAGAGTTAGCACTGGCCGGGCGGTGGTGGCGCACGCCTTTAATCCCAGCACTTGGGAGGCAGAGGCAGGCGGATTTCTGAGTTCGAGGCCAGCCTGGTCTACCAAGTGAGTTCCAGGACAGCCAGAACTACACAGAGAAACCCTGTCTTGAAAAACCAAAAAAAAAAAAAAAAAAAAAAAAAGAGTTAGCACTGGAGCTGGACATGGTGGCTCACACCTTTAATACCTGCACTAGAAAGGAAGAGACAAGTGGATCTCTGTGTTCAAGGCCAGTTTGGTCTACATAATAAGGTCCAGAACAACCAGAACTACATAGAGAGACCCTGTCTGGAAAAATCAAAGCCAAATACAAACAGTTAACACTGGGAAAAGGAAAGAAAGAAGAAAAGAGAAACAAAGAAAAGGTGGCAGCTGGGGGACGTTGATGAGAGGAATAAAATTTAGACATCTGATCATTCAGGGAAACAAAGAAAGACAGGTGGGGGACAGGCTCTTAGGAGTTACCAGGATGTGGGGCTTCCAGTGTGAACCACACTCAGAACTAACTCGGGTGCTAAAATCAATATTTTTGTCTAAATACCAGATCTACTTCTTTTGATACCCTGGAACATTCTTTTTCTTTTGAATTTCTCTTTAAATTGATATCAAAATTATATCTATCTATGGGGTGCCCTGTGATATTTTGCTATACAACATCCTGATAGGAAGTAAAGGATGCTTCAGAGGGATTTGCTTAGGGGCTAGCATATACTCAGTGACTGCACTTGTGTAGCATGTGTGAAGCCTTTGACTTTATCACCAGCACACCTTAGATACTACTACTAAGAATAATAATGATAATAATAAGTTCTCAGTGAGTACCAGATGCTTTAACTAAGTGTTCCTGTGAGCCTTTGTGTTAGGTGATATTGGATCATTTTTCTGTTGTGCTATTTTGTCAAAGGCTGATGACAACATCTTATAGAAACTGGTTTGTCTTAGAAAGAGAAGGTCAGCTCTCACTTCAGACATTAGAGTGTTAATAGGCCCTCCAGAAGGCCTGTAGATGCAAAATAGGCCTATCACATGTTTCCACTGACCCTCATAACCTAGGAGCCCACTTCTACTCTCAGTATGAAGCCGGGTGGTGGTGGCACACACTTTTAATCCCAACGCTTTGGAGTCAGAGGAGATGTCTCTCTCTTTTTTTTTTTTTTTTTTTTTTTTGGTTTGGTTTTTCGAGACAGGGTTTCTCTGTGTAGCCCTGGTTGTCCTGGAACTCACTCTGTAGACCAGGCTAGCCTCGAACTCTCGAACTCAGAAATACGCCTGCCTCTGCCTCCCAAGTGCTGGGGTTAAAGGCGTGCACCACCACCGCCCGGCTCAGAGGAGATCTCTATGAGTTAGAAGCCTGGTGTACAGATGGAGTTCTACGATAGCCAAGGCTATACTGAGAAACCCTGCTTCAGAAAAACAAACAAACCAAATGAAACAACCCCAAAACCTCCCGCTGAAGATTCAACATCAATAACCCAAGAGTCTCATTGTTGTCGTCAGTGGCTTCTTAGAACGAGACTAGCCAGTATCTATACCCCAGTAGAGATGTCTTGAGCACCAACAAGGCACTCGTGTGACTTTTTCATTAACTCTGCAACTCTTTATTGAGTGCTCATTGTGTTCCAGGCTCTTCCCCAGCCACTGAGTCTGCCTGAATGAACAAAACCAATTTATGACTTCAGAAAGTGAGCAACACTAGGATAGCCTCCCCAAGAACACAGCTTACTTAGACACCTAACCTATTTCAGGGATTTAAGAAAATAGTGGCCCAACTTGAGGGAGCCAGCATAAGGAACTGCTTAGCAAACTTCACTTGGTTTGAACTATGCACACAACTTTCTTCTACTAATGCATCTGACAACTAAGGACCCTCACCTGCATGTCCTATGCACACATACATACCCCTCTCAAACAATGCACTTAGCAACCTGGGACATCCACCTTTACTAAGCTAAACGCATATCCTACTCCAAACAATGTATTAAGTTCCTCCTTCCCTTAACAATTATGGAATTTAGACAAGCCCCACTTAATCTTATTCTAGTTGGGTTATGCCCAAATACAAGGGTAGGAGCCCTGATCCAACTCAGAGTAGTTCTGGGTAGTTCCCCAGTAAACTTTTAAGGAGACCCCTTTATTTACTATCTCATGCCTTTGCATTATTTTTTGTTGTTGTTGGTTTTGTTTTTTTTTTTGTTTTTTCGAGATGGGGTTTCTCTGTGTAGCCCTGGCTGTCCTGGAACTCACGCTGTAGACCAGTATGGCCTCGAACTCAGAAATCCGCCTGCTTCTGCCTCCCAAGTGCTGGGATTAAAGGCATGCACCACCACTGCCCAGCAATGCCTATGCATTATTGGGCATGCATATGATTAAAATTAGTGCACTGTGGGAATGGTCATGTCGTAGAAAAGAGGTAATATAATTCATGTCTGCTGGTTAAAATAGAGAACAACACAAAATATGCCCCTTCCTTTTGTCCATATCAAAAGAGCTCCTCTACCGTCACCCATGTAGTCTGCCTGCATGAGCTCAGGTACTGCTTCTTGACAGTATAGTTCTCTCTGATCTCTACTATTGCTTTGCCTTTATACAAAGTTCCTTGTTACTTTGTAAATCCGTATGAGCCTGTATTTCAATGTCTTGAATAGGAGGCTGAGATTCAGGAAACACCTGGCCTGGACCCTGGAGACCTGCAACAAGATTGTCTAGCCTGCATCTAGATGTGTTACATTTTCAAGATAACTTAGAAGGGATGATGACTGGCAGCGGCTTGTAGCACAGCTGTCAGTACAAATCACCAGAGAGCTTTACAAACCGTAGGTACTTTTTCAAGCTTCCTGGAAGGTTACAAGGATGAGAGAAAGACTGAGAATCATTCATTAATGGCCAGGTCTCTCCTGTCTAGATTCACTGACCCTGAGTGCGTGTGGGCATCGGGAGGTTTAAACATTCCCTCGGGCTTGTAATGTGCTGCACAGCTGAAGAGCCACTGGTGAGCTACGGTGTGTATCAGAATAACCCAGAGGGCTTGCTGAAGCACAAATTCCTGTTCCCGTCTAGTTTCTGATAAAGTGCGTGTGAAGTGGACCTCAGAATTTTCCTTGTTCCAAGTTCTCAGGTGACGCTGGTTTGGTACGGAGATTACAGTGTGGGAACCACTCACGCGGTGATTCTTTCCCCCACCTATTTGCCAGCCATGTTTCTTTCTATACTAACACCTATATTATTTATTTATTTATTTATTTATTTATTTATTTATTTATTTATTTATTTTGAGGAGTCCATCCTTCCTTCACAAGGTCAGGAATTGGTTTTGTTTACCCTGGACCCAGTTTCTAGAACAGAGCCTGGCACAAAGCATGGTTTTGGATGTGGCTGACCTCTTCTTGATCATCCCCCACTCCAAAGATGAGCTCAAGCTAGACCTGAGCTTGCATGTCACTCACAGGGTTCAGTTGAGACTTAGCATCTGATCCGATTTCATGCAATAAGCGTAAACCTTGAGAGCTTAGCAAGAACTAGTGAGAAAGCAGCGATCTCTTTGTAGAAGACTTTGAAGTTGGCATAATGCCAGCCTAAAGCACCTTTCTCTAACCAGGGAAGAGGCTGCATTGGAATGAAGCCAATAAAGAAAGGAGAAAACAGGGAGTGGGGAGGGAAGATAGGCAATCGATGGATGGATAGATAGACAGACAGACAGACTAATTCTTATTTCAGAGAGTTTTTTGAAAAGGTTACTGGCTTATTTCCAAAGCTTGGACTAAAAACCCCTGAGCTGTAGCAGTATCTTTAGATTGTTCTTGATTTCTGCAGGTGGCCAAATCTCATATATATATATATATATATATATAT